GACAGTGGCACTGTTCCCACAGACCCCTTTTTCAACAGTTCGTGGGTGTACCAGCTGAGACAGTGGCACTTTTCCCACAGACCCCCTTTTCAACAGTTCGTGGGTGTACCGGCTGAACTATGCCTGCAGGTGCTGGTTTCACAGCCCTGTTTTCAACAGTTCACGGGTGTACCAGCTGAACTATGCCTGCAGGTGCTGGTTTCACAGCCCTGTTTTCAACAGTTCANAACTATGCCTGCAGGCGCTGGTTTCACAGCCCTGTTTTCAACAGTTCACGGGTGTACCAGCTGAACTATGCCTGCAGGTGCTGGTTTCACAGCCCGGTTTTCAACAGTTCACGGGTGTACCACCTGAACTATGCCTGCAGGTGCTGAGCCCACAGGACTTTTTTTCAACAGCCTGCGGGTGTATCAACTGAGCTTTCGTGAGTGCTCATCCTACAGGACTGTTTTTCAACAGTCCGCGGGTGTTCCAACCGAGCTTGGCCCAGTGGCAACGGTCCCACAGGACTGTTCACTCTCAAACCTCTTACAGCAAAACGTGGCTGGCGGATGGTGCACCCGCATGTGCTGGTCCCGCCACTCAGATTCCTTCCTCTTTGTGGGCTAGGCACCCATTGCTCACATGCACGTTGAATTCCCTCGGATCGTGCTTTTAAGACGGGGAAGATGGGGGATTTCGTCAGCATCCCGACCACACAGGAAGTCGAACAGACCTACCCAAAGCGGCGCGTGCTCAAGGTCCTCGATTGCCGTGACAGCCACTCGTGGGGGGGAGGGGGTTCAATCGCTCCCTATTGTAATGCCAATCACAGCAGCCCATGCTGGCATGCACCCTACGTACAGTCAAGGAGGGCCTCCCATTCCTGTTGAGTGGATACACGATTTCTCCCCTTCCTTACCCTGCTTAATAATTTCAAGCGTGCTTTAACTCTCTTACAAAAGTTTTGCTCACCCATCCTTGCGGTACACCTTTGCCGCCAGTCCCGGAGCCAGTCCCGGCTTGGTCAAAAGACCGGATCTTTTAAACCGAGAAAAAATAAAAGAAATAAATGTAATGACCCGTCAAAACACAGACTGAGAACACTGCTGATTTCTGAAGTTCTGCCGATGGAATGGATGCCTTGCTGAGATTCCCGCATTCTGCAGTGTTTTCTAAGTCTGTCTGTGTGTGCGTGCTTGTGACCTGCATGCCTGTCTGAGTGCTTGTCGGTATAAGTGTGTGTGTGTGACCTGCAAGGGTACTTGCTTGTTTGGTAGGCCCGCAGGGCCGGTACTTACCTGTGGCCGTGGCATTGAGGGTTGTGGCAGGGAAAAACACTCAAGTGGCGAAGCTAGCGGCCCTGAGGCCCTTGGGGKAGCGGAAAAACACTCAAGTAGGCCGGTAGGCCGAGATACTGCACCCCACTGCAGTTGGCGTGAGGGGGTACTGGAGGCCGAGCAGAAAAAGACAAAGTTGGCATTTTTAGAGTTCAGTAGCGGTAGGGTAGGTCTAGGCCGGTACCAGTCCAACC